GACTGATGTCGACTCTGACTTTGACATTATCGATGAAAAATCGATACCCCAAGATCTAATCATAAATCTGAACTTGAGAAAAAAGTTCTTCCTGACATTCCGTAATGAATAAATTGCACCAATTCATGAATGTAGGTCTCCAATAATCTCATTATGGTCAGATTCCCTTGAATACCTAATTAGAAAGATCCAAGGAGAGTCCGTGTCTCGTTGGAAAAATCACTTTTGACGTTGTCCATGCATAAACCTTGGATTAATCATAGAACACACATCCGTCCGAATTCTTCCAAGGTCAAGAATTCAAGATATCGTTCGAAATCAAATCTACGTGTGATAAAAACGAGATTAAATCTACGGAAGATAAAAAACCGTCACATAATCACTTCCGCCTGTTATTTCACAGTTAGAAATTTGTCAAAGACTAATTAAATATTCCCGTTTTGGTTCAAAATTAAAGTAAGTTCACGGAGAGAAATATTCAATAAAAATTACGTATCTTTTCCGCAATTCCGGAGCGAAATGTGGTTGTAGGAAATTTTACGGAACTGTCACGGAATTTTTCCGGAGCGTTCCGTAATTTTTACTGAACATTTCTCTCCGTGTTGAGGACTTCTCGTCTCTCTGCTGCTCAAGAATTTGGAATTTCGTTGAATATTCAATGAAATTTGAAATTTTGTGATGCTCACTGTCCTCGTGAAAAGGCCTAATCTAACTGTCGATGAAATTTTAATTATTTTCAGACAGTCTAACTGAGGAAATTCCCCATAAAAAATTATTTTCGCGTTTCCCGACGTCATTAAAGAACTTATCAGCTGTCAACTTTTCATATTACAGAAAATGATTTGCTCGTATTCCAATTCCTCTTTAGAGTGTGAATTTCTGGAATTCAATGTTTGGTGATTCTCTGGTAAAAGTGCGTGCTCACACTGTTATCAAATTTTAGTTAGTTCACACGGTAATTCAATTAATCTGTTGTCCATCTCATCAATATAATTCCGTGCTTAGAATATTGTCACCTCGTGTTTTAACCCCTCACGTACGGGGCCTTTCTGATACCAAGTCTACCACACGCTCAATACTCTTCGCATCCCACATTTTCTGATGAATGAAAAATTATAAATAAAATATATAATTGAAGCTACAGTATTCACCTTCCCAATGGTATTAGTCCGATTGTATTATCGGCCATAGTTTCGGAAATATTCAATTTTGAAAAGATCCTTAACGTCAAAAATGCACTGATAGAACGGATTAGTTATTCTTAACGAATGGATTTTGGTTGGAGGTTAGGGTCTATTCGGTCCCACCAAATGTTCATTCGTTAATAGTTAACGAATGTATATTTGAGGAGCCTTATTTGACTTGACTTTCGCCATTCAAATGAACCATTCGTTAACTATTAACGAATATTCATTTGGTCATATTCAACTCCACCATTCGTTAATAGTTGACGAATCTCGTTTGGAATACATGAATCATTCTATCAGTACAAGGTCAAGATATCGCTCCAAATGAAATCCACGTGAGATAAAAACAAGAGATGAAATCTACGTGAGATAAAAACAGCTCATAATCACTTCCTCCTGTTACCTCACAGTTCTGATCGTGAACGGATGATAATTCACCCGCTAATTTCGATCTTTACGTAACCAATTACCCCCCCCCCCC